GTCCGAAGTGATAGATTGTCGCCTCTGCTTAGAAGCAGACGAGACTTCCAGTCACATTCTCTGTGCCTGCCCAGCCTTGATTTGGGCCAAGAGGATGTCGAGAACTACTTTCTCCTTCTGACATTAGGAGGTCCTCAACTGCCAACATTCTGATTTTCATTTGGAAGGCGGAATGTCTTCTGCTCAGGGTTTCTTGCAGCACAAAACATCAACCATGTTCGTTGTGGTCCGCTCCGTTGGTAACTGGTACTCTGTTGATTCTTATTCCTATCAATTGTTATTTTATTTACTTGAATTAGAGCCCGATCAGTCGAAAAACTATAACTCGGACTCTCGTTTTGGTACATATCTCTGCTAAAAATTTCTGTCTTAATTAAGTACATTTGAGATTTAGTTTATAAATATTATAATTTATCAATATTATTAATAAGTTTGTTATTACAAACTATTTTTATGTGAATTTCTACTAAAATGAAAACATGAGAAAAATTAAAACAAATGAGAATATTGTAAATAATATAATTAATTAATTGTAATTAAAAAAATGTTTTTTTGATTTTTATAAAATTCTTCTTTTCATAATGAATTAGTATCTAAAGCACTTTTACTCTATAGAGCCTGTGATCATTTAAGTAATCTATTAAAAATACTGTTCCCCTTTATATATTGCTAACAACTCCGAGTAAAGTTTCGTATGTCTGTTCGCATGCGAAATTCTGAGGTTCCAAGCGGTTAGTAAGGTAGTACTGTTTTTAGCGTCCACAATGTAATTATAAAAATATTTTTATTATAAAAATTATTAAAATTATTATTATAGTTATTTTTGCATTTTGCATATATGTTTTTTCGTTTGATTGAAATTTTTTAATTTATTTGATAAGTACTGAATTTGAGTTTTTTAATTTTTTTTAGATGTATTTTAATATTTGCCAAATTTAAAATAAATCTAAATATTTTTGTTATTTGCTTTGAATGTACATAAAATAAAATTCTTTAGAAGTTTTGAATCTGGTAATTATTTTAAAAATACTGAAAGCTAATTTTCAATTGATTTAATTATTTTTATTTCATAAAATAGTGGCACAAATAAATTTTTTTATTTTATTTTAGTTGGAAATATTTCTTTAAAACTTACTCACTTCATTTTTCTGAAAAGTTTTCTGTGAAGATCACAGTAGGTTAATTTAACTATAAAATAAAAATTTAATTATTTTTTTTTTGACCAAAAATCCATTTTATAATTGTTGAATAAATTTTTTTTTGTTACCAAAAAAATATTTTTGCAACTACTGAACTTGACAGTTTCAAAAAAAAAAATAATAATAATAAAATTTCGCATGTTAATAATAATAAAACAATTATAAAAATCAGTGAATTGTGAAATATTTTCAGTTATTCATAGTTAAATTTTTTTATCATTAATTTGTTATTTCCACATTTACACTGTAATTTAATGCAATTTATAAAAGTACAAGTTCAGAAAGTTTTTTTAATAAATCTATCTGTTTGTTTGTTATACTCGTATGCAATTTTAAAATTAGCAAAATGCATTCAAATAAATTTTTATACTGTTTTTTTTTTGTTTTCTATATAAGAAAAAATGACTATCGTATGATATTTGAATTTGCATAACAAAACGAATAAAAATTTTAATAAAATTTATAAGCAAATACAATTTATGAGCAAATAAAATTTATAAAATTTTTGCTAAAGGTAATAATAAGTTATTACTACATATACGTTAAGGAATTCAAGGTAATAAGTATAAAAGAGATATTTTTATATATTTATTTAGGGGTTATATTGTAGGTATATAGAAGGAAAAAATAATATCACTAATCAATTTTGGTCTCGGCTGGCAAAGTCCAAACAGTCAGAATGCACTGCATAGAATTCATACTCAAGATATTTTACTTAATAAAGTACAAAATATCCCATAAAGGAACGACTATCATATATCAAAAATATTCAGATACTGTATACCGAAAAGAGTGCAAATATAACTCTACTTACATCAATATTAAAATCACACACTCCAAATGAAAGAAAACAAGTTTGGGTTTCAAATTTACTCAGACATAAAGGGTGACATACATAATACCAGATTCTGCAATTATTTTAAATGGCTGTGGATGCGCTAAAAATGTTATGAACGTATTATTAAAAAGATATATAATAAAAACTGATACAAGATTATTCAACGCCTCGCATTTCTATATACCTTTATACATCGTGTTTTTCGCCTGGATATTAGGACATTGTGACTGTGACTACCAATATAAACACTTGTAGATGACTATCACTCATTATTGCAGTCATGCACAATATTAGTTATTTTTTAGATGCTCACATATCAATCAATCTATCTCTATATAACTATGAGATACGATTTTTGACTAATGAGAGGAGGAATTTCTAAGAGGAAAGTTTACCAAGCTTTCACCTACTGTGGAAAACCGGTAATAAGATTCTGTAAGACCACAAATAATTATCTAAAATTGAATCTTCTTGATATGATATGAATCTTGACGAAATTCTCAAACAAAATTTCTTAATGTAATGAAAGTAGCTCTTGAATTAGAAATGCACGTACTACAGTAACCCATATTACTTAATAAAAACTAAATCACTAGTAGAACAGTTATTTTCTCTTTACGTACCCATAAATGGTCTACTTTAAGTTTGATATAATAATAATAATAAAAGGTATTCGTGAAAATTGCCCAACAGCCGGTACTGCGGCCAGAAGAGACCTATTGTACCAGTTTCACTATTGATTAAACAAAGCCCCTTAAAGCTTTGTGAATAAAGTCTAGAACTAAATCTAGAGAAGAGTTCTTAATCTGTTCTGGTGACAGAAATTCCTTATGAAACAGGTTTCTTCTGTGCGTTGTTAAAGCTGGACAGTCACAAAGAATGTGCTTGGTTGTTTCCTCATCTTCGAGGCATAATCTGCATTCCGAGTTAGCAGATAATTGTAGTTTATGAAGGTGATATTTCAGACCATAATGACCTGTAATGAAACCCGTTATCATCCTTAAATTACATTTTGAGAATTTAAGAATGTTTTTGTAGGAGTAAGGTGATATCAGTGCTTTGCTTTGTCTGAGTCCTGGAAAGTTTACCCAGTACTCTAGCCGCATATGATTTTCCATTTCCTTGATAATCTGTTTTGTACTAGCCCAGTTTATTCCACAAAAGGGTTGAGGGCCTATAAAAGCAGTTTTTGATGCAGTTCTGGCAAGCTCATCAGCTTCTTCATTTCCCAAAACTCCTCTGTGGCCCGGAACCCAGTAAAGGTTTACCTTATTCCGAGCTGTAAGTGATTGCAGAAGATCATAACACTCAAGGACCTGTTTTGATTTGAAAGTCCAAGAAGAAAGAGCTTTAAGAGCAGCCTGGCTGTCAGAGTAAATAACAATTTTCGAGCCAGAAGATTTTTTGATTAAATTGGATCTTACGCATAAGTTGATTGCGTGGATTTCAGCTTGGAAGACACTCGGCCAATATTGTTGTATGACCATAGTCAAGACAACCCTTGTTCATGTGGAGTTTTAGTCGAAGCGCACTAAGCGCAGCCGTAGATTGAATGTGTATGTGCAGA